TTCCTCCCAGCGTACGTTTCGTTGTACTATGTGGTACATGTAGGTTGTTGTGGCGATAGTGTACCCCACACGCATATCACTGCCATGGGTACATATTAGGGATAGTTTCCATCCCTTTGATCGACAACCACTATTATACTGTTGCCGACACGCAAGAGGCTAGTAGTCCAATACACCCCAGGCGCCAGGACAATACAACCACAAATGCTAACACTAGTCTGAGTAGAACATTCGGTGAGTGTATGGCTTAGCAAAGAAGTATGGTATATTGGAAACGTTCAACAAAAATACCTATGCCGGGGATGATGTTGCTTAACCATAAGTGAAAATCTAGTCTGCATATATTTGTTTGAAATCGCTCCGGAACCATATGATAGCAAACCTCGATGTTCCAGTTAATCTTCTATTCTATGACACATACCACATCGCTCGGCATCCAGGACGACAAACTATGACTCCGACATATCTATTCGGGTCAAAATAAAATATAGAACTACCTCAGAAAATGGGGCTTGGACCCACAGACTAGCCCGAGGTATTCAAACGATTCCAGTATATGTATGGATTGAATTTTCATTCAGATTAACATGCAGTAGTCGCCAAAAATAATACCATTACAAAACTATACAGCTGTATAATCAGAGGAGAAATTCAAGCCTGTATTGAGCCCAAGTCCAACGTGTCTGAAGAAAGTGAACCGAACGAGTATGGCAGTCAGTGCAACCAATTACTGCATCAGTACAGCCAACTGTTGCTTCATTGCAAAAGATTCTTGCTTTAATGCCATCAAACAATTGGTCTTTCAGTTCACTGTGACAGTCAAGTACCAACTCCTGCTTCAATGTACTGAACTGTTGCCTTAGTGCAACCAAACCATTGGCTGTTGAAAAGGAAAGAAGTAAAGTATGTGATTTTCACAGACAACGTCTCTTCTCAAAACTTGGTATCGCAACTTATGCGATCACTAAGTGAGAACCTTCGTACATGTAAGATATACGATACGAAAGATGGTAGTTTTCATCTTGCTCATTTATTACTAAGACGGGCACGTTATTTGCTTTAACTTTGAGAGCATTCTATCAAAATAGTGGTAGTAAGTTCTTAAGCATCGATGGGAATCGATATCTATACACAATTACATAAGTTTCAATATTTTGAGCGTAATGCATAGGTGTCACACTAGGACCAGGTTAACACGAGAAGATGGAATGACTTATTTTAATAGATGAAATTTTGCATCGTCGCAAATATTCCAACCTACGAAGTTTGTAATTTTGGGCCACCCAACAAGATCAAAGCTAATAGCATTAACGCACCTTTTTCAATTTGTAAACATGGCTAGTACCATCACCCCACTCGTCTATTGTGCTATTGTATTCTTCTCGCATACAGTGAGATACACATATATCAAGAAGCTTTTTGTTTTGTTTTTTGAACTATGGTTGTTTATACAAATGAATCTTTTGAGGTTTCATCGAGTTCATCCATCCGAATGCGACTATCAACAGTTGAAAACTACCTATCTATCAAGCGTGCGAGACCATTTGAGAGCAAACCACGGCTACAATCACTGGTCAAGATCAATTAACCAGTGATGCTCGAGTGCAATGCAGTTGACTCAAAACAAAGTGCAAATGGATGCCTTTATTTTAGACCTCACCTTTGGTTTTATACCTATGGTGTCTGTGCAAGTGTTCAACCACTTAGACTGGCCAGGGTAAACCCTCATATGGTCAGTATGAGAAACCTTATGCAGAACACTTTAACACTTCGATACTATACTATTTCGACTTCTCTGCTACTTAATGTCACGCTGATCTCATGATGCTCTTTCGGATAGTCTCTGACTCACACAGGGGCAAAGATTTTTATATATTATTGCGGCTAACAAATTTGATCAACTCTCGGAAATCGGTTAAGCAATTTACTCTACTATCAAGAGTGAGACAAGAAACTTGATTAGCTCACGGGAGTGAGCTAACTCTGATGATTTCGATAAATCAAAGATGTTTCCTTGCTGTAAAATTACAATCTAAGACTTGTATTCTTTCAACTGAGCAGTGCTTCAGTGGTCGAGCACATGCCGGAAACGGTCTTTGTCGGGCAAATAGCTACAACTTGTAGAAATTCAAGCGTGAGAGACGTTTTACTGCGGCTCCACTGGTCACAATTAATCAACCACTGAGCATTCCTCAGTGGTCGAGCACATGCCAAAGGGTTGCTGTCAGTACGATACGTAACTCAGTATTTACGTACTTTGTTTGGCTTGACATTTATTTTGTTACAACCAGAGTACGAGTCGGATTCGCTACAAACTACCACTCAAAGTAAGCCTTAAATGTGTTGTAATATGTTTAGTGCATCACGTGTAGGTTCGATTTGGTAAAATGTGTCCTAAATTTGTAATATCCGGGCCACCATATTAGATCCAATGTATATATCTGTTCTCCTAAGAAGTACTTAACCTAATTTTACGATTTTGTTTATAAAAGCCTTTTCCATTTTACTAATCAAATATTTGGGGTGGGTTCATTAAAAAACTTGTTAAATTTCCAAAAATTTATATCTGAATACTTCAGTAGCGAGTTGGCTCAAACATTATTAACGTTGCGAAGTTTATTGTCCGAGCAGCCAAGAAGATTGTCAGTCGGATGAGAGCGAGCCAGTAAGTCCTGATGCGTGACTAGCCATCAGTTGATACAATGATTTGCGATATCACATTTCTTCTTTCTTTTCATTTCTTTCATTTCTTCTTTTTCTTCTTCTAAAGATAGGATTTTGTTTGTTGAAATCTTCGCGCGACAAAAACAATAATAATATTAGTTTCGTTAACGGAATAAAACTGGCCTCAATTCACCCAGAGTTTTACTGGTTCACGAGGCAACCCTAACTTCAATAATTGACTACTTTTGCAGTTCGCACATACTTTAGGGTTTACTTAGACATACTCTAACTTTTTTAAACGTTCCGTCAGAGTTATGTTGATCAACGGCCAGTAATGCCAAATTAACGGGCTTTTGTTGGTAATTGATTTATATTACCTCATCGACTAACCATTTTTTAACTTGTTCTTTTACTACTGCTTCATGTATCCAAGAAACATAGTTCCAGAAAGGATATTTTAGCATAGTAAAATCTACCTTGGTTAAGTTAAGGCTGACATATCCGTCGTTCAAGCGGAATTTCGCCCAGTCAGTAATCTTTACCTTCTTATTCACTAATATAAGATCCATTATTGCATTTGCAAAGTCAGGTATTATTTCCTTGACTGTGTCTGACGGTGGTGTATATGGTTTTAAGCAATTATTATCTAACTGATTCTTTAGTGGATCTACGTTATTAGGTAGACCAGTTACGGTTATTTCTAATGTGAGCAAATCGCTCATTCTGACTATAATTTCGTACTTCTGTGACATCTTAACTATCACAGCTTGAGTATTGATATTTCTATCGTCGGCCAGATAGATCTTAACGTCTGTGGCCATGGTATTACACTTAGAAGTCTTATCATCTGCTAAAATAAGGTGAGTGATTTGTTCCTTTGACTCAGCACGTACCCTCGTATTGGGTCATGAAGGCTGAGTAGCGTCGCGAGGGCGAGTCTGGTTAGGGCACGTCTGATTAGGTCTCTCATTCGACGTCTGTCGAGAGAGATATCCCTGATCAGCGGGTTCGTGCGGTTTCTTATTTACCGCCTTTCCTCTCGACGTTACTCGATGGGCTGGGTAGAGCGTGGAGACAGTATCATAAAACCTCTCCCGTGTAAGAATTAGCCTGATAACCATTTGTCTTCTCGCACTTGTCGTATTTCACAAGATAATGCTTGCAAGCGTTGCGTGCTTTCCATTCCAGTAACCGTTAGGGGTTTTTTAGTGTGCAGTGTGGGGGACTAATAGTAAAGTGCTAGTGTATTTAAAGTATGGTGCATTCGAATGAATTTATTCATGATCTCACCCTCAGTTATATACTGATGATGTTTGTACTAGTGTTCAACCACTTGGGTTGGCCAGGGTAAAAACTCATATGATCAGTATGAGAAACCTGATGCAGAACACTTTAGCACTCGGATATGTTTTCCAGAAATAAATATATCATATTCTCTGTTACTACACTCAGTGTCGGACCTCGGCTCTCGGCTAGCCGGGGGGCCCGTATTCTATAAATAGAATAATCTGAGAAGAAGTCTCAAATTACTCTTACGTTCTCTCGGGCTGACCCACCTATACTTATTGTAGCCTCCAGGTATTTTGAAAAGGTTACAGCCCGTGCTAAGGCCTAGGTCGACAATTAACCAGAATAAATCATGTATTGCCATTGGTCAAGACGTGTTAAGTATTTTTTCTGAAACCGACATTTCATTTTTTTCAACTGACGATATCGAAGATTCAAACCTTTTTCTAATGGCCGTTAGTTAAAATTAATCCAGTCCCCCCGCATGCATCGCATGCATCGCATCACGTCAAATTCCAAGACAGATCAATCAACTTTCAGCTTCGGGCCTTCAGGCAATGGCCATAGCGCAACCTAGGAAAGTATATGGAGAAATTGGTAAGTGGAAATCCAAAGCTGCGCGATTAGCTTTAAAACAGACGCACAGTATATCACAGAGATTAGTACCAACCCCAGCACATTCAAACGATGCACGCACTAACAGAGTTAACGAAGCACGCGCTCATGAAGTAAACGATGCACGCGATAATAACCTCGTACGGAAGACTCTATTCAACGATCAGGAAGGTGCACAACCGTTAAGAAAGAAAACATCGTTGCACCAATTCATTGCAAAGGAGATTGCGGCACAAAAATTACACACACGTACTGCTGCCAACACAGACACTACTGCACATACTACGACCAACTCTGACAGACACTGCTGCACGTGCTGCGACCAGCACAGACACTACTGCACGTGCTGTAACCAGCACAGGCTCTACTGCACGTGCTGCAACCAACACAAACACTACTGTACGTGCTGCGACCAGCACAGGCAACTCTGCACATACTGCGACTACCACAGACACTACTGCACATACTGCGACCAACACAGACACTACTGCACGTGCTGCGACCAGCACAGACACTACTGCACGTGCTGCGACCAATACAGACACTACTGCACGTGCTGCGACCAACACAGACACTACTGCACGTGCTGCGACCAGCACAGACACTACTGCACCTGCTGCAACCAACGCAAACACTACTGCACGTGTTGCGACCAGCACAGGCAATTCTGTACATACTGCGACTACCACAAACACTACTGCACATACTGCGACCAACACAGACACTACTGCACGTGCTGCGACCAACACTGTGGCGAGTCGGACCAGGAAGAAGGACAAGATCCCAATGCGGAGTGGAATGCCTTATGGGCTAGAATGCCCCGTGTTGATCCACCAGAGCAATCCCTACACGTGCAGGTAAAGTTTAATAGAGGAAACAACACAAGATCATTCAGCAACAGAGGCAAGGAGGATCCCCTGATGTATGCTTAATGTCATTGGTATATGTTTGATGTGGCTGATTTAGAGCGTCAAATTCTATTGTTGGCTAACCATGCTATTAACAAGTAGCGAGCACAACCAACATCAAAGAAGAACGCAGTGGGCGGGACGAAGGGGGAATTGAAGGTGAATGGGTTGCAGAATTTACTCTTCCATTCACGGGGGCCCAAGATATGCGCAAGCGCGCTGTGATCAGCTCCAAGGAGTTTGGCGAACAGCGACAAGACGACCATAACCCGATATGGGTAGAGGATTCAGCTGGAAACGACGACCTTTCAATCAAGATAAGAAATATGGTTTGTTTTATTGTGATTATATTACGGTTTTAGGGTGACTATATTAGGGTTTTAGGGTTACTTACTTATTATATTACGGTTTTAGGGTGATTATATTACGGTTATAGGGTGATTATATTACGGTTTTAGGGTGATTCTATTAAACAGCGGTTTTAGGATTATATTGCCTGTTTTCATACAGAGCATGGACATAAACATAAGTAAAATGAGATTCAACCCCCTCAAGGTATGTAGATTAAGGTAAGTATATGGCACGTGGTGCAGGAACAGAGAAGCTCGCCACTACACATACGTGCATCTTATGGCAGTACACATACATACACTGACATACCCATACACATACACATACACATAGACGCATGTATGTCTACATATACACGCATATATGTGTCTGTGCTGGTTGCAGTGCTTGCAGTAATAACACACACATACATACACATAGTACATGTATATGGCACGTGGTGCAGGAACAGAAAAACCCACCACTACATATACGTACATCTATGTGTATGGCAGTACACATACATACTCATACTCTATTATTTAATAAAACCATTAAAACCCATTTAGGAAACTTAAGTTCCTCGTACTATTAAGAGTACGTTTATAATTTACGTACTGCTTAAGAGTACGTTTATAACATAGAGTCTAATGT